ACCCTCCTGTAGTCCTATCTAACCCCAGAACAGAACCTCCTGTAGTCCCATCTAACCCCAGAACAGACCCTCCTGTAGTCCTATCTAACCCCAGACCCTCCTGTAGTCCTATCTAACCCCAGAACCTCCTGTAGTCCTATCTAACCCCAGACCCTCCTGTAGTCCTATCTAACCCCAGACCCTCCTGTAGTCCTATCCAACCCCATACCCTCCTGTAGTCCTATCTAACCCCAGACCCTCCTGTAGTCCTATCTAACCCCAGAACAGAACCTCCTGTAGTCCTATCTAACCCCAGAACACCCCCTCCTGTAGTCCTATCTAACCCCAGAACAGACCCTCCTGTAGTCCTATCTAACCCCAGAACAGAACCTCCTGTAGTCCTATCTAACCCCAGACCCTCCTGTAGTCCTATCTAACCCCAGAACAGACCCTCCTGTAGTCCTATCTAACCCCAGACCCTCCTGTAGTCCTATCTAACCCCAGAACAGAACCTCCTGTAGTCCTATCTAACCCCAGACCCTCCTGTAGTCCTATCTAACCCCAGAACCTCCTGTAGTCCTATCTAACCCCAGACCCTCCTGTAGTCCTATCTAACCCCAGACCCTCCTGTAGTCCTATCTAACCCCAGACCCTCCTGTAGTCCTATCTAACCCCAGAACAGACCCTCCTGTAGTCCTATCTAACCCCAGAACAGACCCTCCTGTAGTCCTATCTAACCCCAGAACAGAACCTCCTGTAGTCCTATCTAACCCCAGAACAGACCCTCCTGTAGTCCTATCTAACCCCAGACCCTCCTGTAGTCCTATCTAACCCCAGAACAGAACCTCCTGTAGTCCCATCTAACCCCAGAACAGACCCTCCTGTAGTCCTATCTAACCCCAGACCCTCCTGTAGTCCTATCTACCCCAGACCCTCCTGTAGTCCTATCTAACCCCAGAACAGAACCTCCTGTAGTCCCATCTAACCCCAGAACAGACCCTCCTGTAGTCCTATCTAACCCCAGACCCTCCTGTAGTCCTATCTAACCCCAGAACCTCCTGTAGTCCTATCTAACCCCAGACCCTCCTGTAGTCCTATCTAACCCCAGACCCTCCTGTAGTCCTATCTAACCCCAGACCCTCCTGTAGTCCTATCTAACCCCATACCCTCCTGTAGTCCTATCTAACCCCAGACCCTCCTGTAGTCCTATCTAACCCCAGAACAGAACCTCCTGTAGTCCTATCTAACCCCAGAACACCCCCTCCTGTAGTCCTATCTAACCCCAGAACAGACCCTCCTGTAGTCCTATCTAACCCCAGAACAGACCCTCCTGTAGTCCTATCTAACCCCAGAACAGACCCTCCTGTAGTCCTATCTAACCCCAGAACAGACCCTCCTGTAGTCCTATCTAACCCCAGAACAGACCCTCCTGTAGTCCTATCTAACCCCAGACCCTCCTGTAGTCCTATCTAATCCCAAAACAGACCCTCCTGTAGTCCTATCTAACCCCAGAACAGACCCTCCTGTAGTCCTATCTAACCCCAGAACAGACCCTCCTGTAGTCCTATCTAACCCCAGAACAGAACCTCCTGTAGTCCTATCCCCAGAACAGACCCTCCTGTAGTCCTATCTAACCCCAGAACAGACCCTCCTGTAGTCCTATCTAACCCCAGAACAGACCCTCCTGTAGTCCTATCTAACCCCAGAACAGAACCTCCTGTAGTCCTATCCCCAGAACAGACCCTCCTGTAGTCCTATCTAACCCCAGAACAGACCCTCCTGTAGTCCTATCTAACCCCAGACCCTCCTGTAGTCCTATCTAACCCCAGAACACAGACTCCTTTCATTTCTGTCACTATGCTGATTAAAGGCTGTTGGTCGAACAGGGATGGTGTGTGTGTCTCTGAACAGCACGTTTCCAAGGTCATGTTTGGTCCACTGGTTTCCTTCTGAACTCATTACCCCAACAAGGTTTACTCAGTCAAAACAAGCCTCATTGTACAGAACAGCCAAGCTCTCTCTCTGACAAGGCCACGTTTGAAAACTTCACTGTGCAAGTGGACAGATTCCTCTCAGGCGATAACATAATCAAATCCATGAAAGAAATACCATTCGTCCCTACGCCCTTTTAGTTAAAGTCTCCCATTATTCTGTGTTGTATGTAACATGCCTGGGGTATAGCGTGTCAACCGGTGGTGAAGTTAGCTGCTTGGCGTATTAGAGAAATGTTCTAACAGCTGCACCGCAGGCTGAGACTCATGTATTCATGAGAAGGATGAGTGAAGGACGTTGTGGCACCAAGTCTGGACTGGAGGCAGGGAGAGAAGAGGCTCAAAGCCACGGCTGGTGACACACAGCTGTAGGAGTGAAGAAAAACTGACCCGGGAATCACTTAGTCAGCCATCGAGAGCTGGGAGGAGAGACAGAGAAACAGAGAGAGACCCGGGAATCACTTAGTCAGCCATCGAGAGCTGGGAGGAGAGACAGAGAAACAGAGAGAGACCCGGGAATCACTTAGTCAGCCATCGAGAGCTGGGAGGAGAGACGGAGAGAGACCCAGGAATCACTTAGTCAGCCATCGAGAGCTGGGAGGAGAGACAGAGAAACAGAGAGAGACCCGGGAATCACTTAGTCAGCCATCGAGAGCTGGGAGGAGAGACGGAGAAACAGAGAGAGACCCGGGAATCACTTAGTCAGCCATCAAGAGCTGGGAGGAGAGACAGAGAAACAGAGAGAGACCCAGGAATCACTTAGTCAGCCATCGAGAGCTGGGAGGAGAGACAGAGAAACAGAGAGAGACCCGGGAATCACTTAGTCAGCCATCGAGAGCTGGGAGGAGAGACAGAGAGAGACCCAGGAATCACTTAGTCAGCCATCGAGAGCTGGGAGGAGAGACAGAGAAACAGAGAGAGACCCGGGAATCACTTAGTCAGCCATCGAGAGCTGGGAGGAGAGACGGAGAAACAGAGAGAGACCCGGGAATCACTTAGTCAGCCATCGAGAGCTGGGAGGAGAGACAGAGTAACAGAGAGAGACCCGGGAATCACTTAGTCAGCCATCGAGAGCTGGGAGGAGAGACAGAGAAACAGAGAGAGACCCGGGAATCACTTAGTCAGCCATTGAGAGCTGGGAGGAGAGACAGAGAAACAGAGAGAGACCCGGGAATCACTTAGTCAGCCATCGAGAGCTGGGAGGAGAGACAGAGAGACAGAGAGAGACCCAGGAATCACTTAGTCAGCCATCAAGAGCTGGTAGGAGAGACGGAGAAACAGAGAGAGACCCAGGAATCACTTAGTCAGCCATCAAGAGCTGGGAGGAGAGACAGAGAAACAGAGAGAGACCCGGGAATCACTTAGTCATCCATCGAGAGCTGGTAGGAGAGACAGAGAAACAGAGAGAGACCCGGGAATCACTTAGTCAGCCATCAAGAGCTGGTAGGAGAGACAGAGAAACAGAGAGAGACCCAGGAATCACTTAGTCAGCCATCGAGAGCTGGTAGGAGAGACAGAGAAACAGAGAGAGACCCGGGAATCACTTAGTCAGCCATCAAGAGCTGGTAGGAGAGACAGAGAAACAGAGAGAGACCCAGGAATCACTTAGTCAGCCATCGAGAGCTGGTAGGAGAGACAGAGAAACAGAGAGAGACCCGGGAATCACTTAGTCAGCCATCAAGAGCTGGTAGGAGAGACAGAGAAACAGAGAGAGACCCGGGAATCACTTAGTCAGCCATCAAGAGCTGGTAGGAGAGACAGAGAAACAGAGAGAGACCCGGGAATCACTTAGTCAGCCATCAAGAGCTGGTAGGAGAGACAGAGAGACAGAGAGAGACCCAGGAATCACTTAGTCAGCCATCGAGAGCTGGGAGGAGAGACAGAGAAACAGAGAGAGACCCGGGAATCACTTAGTCAGCCATCAAGAGCTGGTAGGAGAGACAGAGAAACAGAGAGAGACCCAGGAATCACTTAGTCAGCCATCAAGAGCTGGTAGGAGAGACAGAGAAACAGAGAGAGACCCGGGAATCACTTAGTCAGCCATCGAGAGCTGGGAGGAGAGACAGAGAAACAGAGAGAGACCCGGGAATCACTTAGTCAGCCATCAAGAGCTGGTAGGAGAGACAGAGAGAGACCCAGGAATCACTTAGTCAGCCATCGAGAGCTGGTAGGAGAAACAGAGAGACAGAGAGAGACCCAGGAATCATACTATCAGTCACACCAGGATGGAGGAGACAGAGAGAGACCCAGGAATCATACTATCAGTCACACCAGGATGGAGGAGAGACAGAGAGACCCCCCCCCCCCCCCTCACAACACACACCAGAGAGACCCACTGGACACAGACGTCAGTTCAATGTCTACTTTTGATTTACATTTGGTTGAGTTCTCAACTAACGTGAATTCAACGTGAAACCAACTAAACATTTCACCATGTAATTAGATTTTGGTTAAAAGTTTGGTTAAAAATAAGACCAAATGCCCTTACATCGAATCCAATCAGTTTTCCAAATCCAATCAGTTTTCCACATTGATTCAACGTCAAATGAGAGCCCAGTGGGGAGGGAGGGGAGACAGGACTAGAGAGCCCAGTGGGGAGGGAGGGAGGGGAGACAGGACTAGAGAGCCCAGTGGGGAGGGAGGGAGGGAGGGAGGGGAGACAGGACTAGAGAGCCCAGTGGGGAGGGAGGGAGGGAGGGAGGGAGGGGAGACAGGACTAGAGAGCCCAGTGGGGAGGGAGGGAGGGGAGACAGGACTAGAGAGCCCAGTGGGGAGGGAGGGAGGGAGGGAGGGAGGGGAGACAGGACTAGAGAGCCCAGTGGGGAGGGAGGGAGGGGAGACAGGACTAGAGAGCCCAGTGGGGAGGGAGGGAGGGAGGGAGGGAGGGGAGACAGGACTAGAGAGCCCAGTGGGGAGGGAGGGAGGGAGGGAGGGAGGGGAGACAGGACTAGAGAGCCCAGTGGGGAGGGAGGGAGGGAGGGAGGGGAGACAGGACTAGAGAGAGAAAAGCAGCACCAGTAGTCCTGACACATGACCCACATTACAACCTTCTGCCTCCCCTCCCCTCCCCTGTCCTCTCCTCCCCTCCCCTCCCACGTCACTGCTGCTCTTCAGATAAAAAGCCCCTTTGTTTCCCAGGAGGGAGGGAGGGAGGGAGGTCTCTAGGGTGAACTGCCACCATGCAACCCGCCGTTTAACAGGGAAAAGAGGACTTCCCACCCTGTCACCCCCCCCACCCCGGCCTGTCACCCCCCCCACCCCGGCCTGTCACCCCCCCCACCCTGGTCTGTCATCCCCCCCCACCCCGGCCTGTCACCCCCCCCCCCCCGGCCTGTCACCCCCCCCATCCTGGTCTGTCATCCCCCCCCCCCCCCCCCAAAAAAAATACCAAATACCCCCACCAACGAATAAGGCTTTTGAATGTTTTGATAAAAATGTATAATTCGTATATCTGAAGACAGTAGATTAACATGATTTACAAAACAAACATTTAAACAACTATGTTTATTCGTATAGAAATGTTCATGTTTTACATACATAGCTTTGTAGTAACAAATTGTTAAAAATAAAGAATAACACTGAATAGCATCATCACTAAGTTTCTCTCAGATGAATGAGCAGAGTAGATTTCATTTCAATGTTATTGTGTGACATGTTCATTGATATACTCTGTGTGTGTGTGTGTGTGTGTGTGTGTGTGTTTGTGTGTGTGTGTGTGTTTGTGTGTTACAGACCTACTATTTGAAATCATTTCAAATACTTTAACTGGGCATGACCGAGCTTACCTTGGCAGTCCAGGCAGGCCTAAAGCAAACAATAAAAAAAAAAATGTTTGAAAGATTTCAAATAGTATTTGAACCCAGGTCTGGTGTGCTGTGTGTGAAATTAATTTTCCGCATTAAAAAGATAGCGGAAGGAATCTACAGACAGACGGACGGTCTCAAAGTCCTCTCCATCACCGTCTCTCTATTAACGTACTGTGGGGAGGAAGTGTCCATGAGAAACAACAGGGCCCGATCCCAGATGGACTCTAGACACGACGTCCTATACACTTGTGGAGATCTGAGAGGAGCCTATCAGAGGGCAAGGTGGAGCTATTACCAGATTGATTGCACCTGTCAAATCTTATCAGATCCCCACAAGTGCAGAGGGTCTAGGGGTCCATTTGGGATTGGGCCAACAACATCCACTAGTCCTAGTGCAGAGGGTCTAGGGGTCCATTTGGGATTGGGCCAACAACATCCACTAGTCCTAGTGCAGAGGGTCTAGGGGTCCATTTGGGATTGGGCCAACAACATCCACTAGTCCTAGTGCAGAGGGTCTAGGGGTCCATTTGGGATTGGGCCAACAACATCCACTAGTCCTAGTGCAGAGGGTCTAGGGGTCCATTTGGGATTGGGCCAACAACATCCACTAGTCCTAGTGCAGAGGGTCTAGGGGTCCATTTGGGATTGGGCCAACAACATCCACTAGTCCTAGTGCAGAGGGTCTAGGGGTCCATTTGGGATTGGGCCAACAACATCCACTAGTCCTAGTGCAGAGGGTCTAGGGGTCCATTTGGGATTGGGCCAACAACATCCACTAGTCCTAGTGCAGAGGGTCTAGGGGTCCATTTGGGATTGGGCCAACAACATCCACTAGTCCTAGTGCAGAGAATTTATACAAAACCAGCTGTGTATTCTGTTCATACCCAGTACATCATAATACAAAACCAGCTGTGTATTCTGTTCATACCCAGTACATCATAATACAAAACCAGCTGTGTATTCTGTTCATACCCAGTACATCATAATACAAAACCAGCTGTGTATTCTGTTCATACCCAGCACATCATAATACAAACCAGCTGTGTATTCTGTTCATACCCAGCACATCATAATACAAAACCAGCTGTGTATTCTGGTCATACCCAGTACATCATAATACAAAACCAGCTGTGTATTCTGTTCATCCCCAGTACATCATAATACAAAACCAGCTGTGTATTCTGTTCATCCCCAGTACATCATAATACAAAACCAGCTGTGTATTCTGTTCATACCCAGTACATCATAATACAAAACCAGCTGTGTATTCTGTTCATACCCAGCACATCATAATACAAAACCAGCTGTGTATTCTGTTCATACCCAGTACATCATAATACAAAACCAGCTGTGTATTCTGTTCATACCCAGTACATCATAATACAAAACCAGCTGTGTATTCTGTTCATACCCAGTACATCATAATACAAAACCAGCTGTGTATTCTGTTCATACCCAGTACATCATAATACAAAACCAGCTGTGTATTCTGTTCATACCCAGCACATCATAATACAAAACCAGCTGTGTATTCTGTTCATACCCAGTACATCATAATACAAAACCAGCTGTGTATTCTGTTCATACCCAGCACATCATAATACAAAACCAGCTGTGTATTCTGTTCATACCCAGCACATCATAATACAAAACCAGCTGTGTATTCTGTTCATACCCAGCACATCATAATACAAAACCAGCTGTGTATTCTGTTCATACCCAGTACATCATTATAGTTAAGGTATTCAGGCTAAGAGAGAAACGCATTAAGATACCCCATACAGACAACAGAGACCCTCCTTCACTCTTCACTCCCAGAGACGTGACCGGGTCGGCGCCGTCAGTGTATCCTATTCTCTGAAACACGGGGTGGGTCCACAACGGCACCCTATTCCATATCTAGTGCACTCCTTTCGACCAGGGTCCCATAGGGCTCTAGTCAAATGTAGTGCACTATAAAGGGGCGAGGGTGGCATTTCAGACGCAGGCAGAGACAGGACACAACACAGTGAGAGGACTAAACACATCTCACCACAAGGCCTTTAACATGTCAATGTCTCTCTTCAGTCCACAGGGTTCAGTCAGGGCAGGAGCCTAGCTTAGCAGGGTTTACCTACTGTACACCCCTTTCACAGTCCCTTTCGCCTGAGGGTGGTAAGTATAGTTCACGGTCATGTTAAAATCGGGAAAATATGAATGTAACATTTTTCAGTCTTTTCTTCCGTTTGGTGCCTTGTGAACACGACCCGGTTCAGTTCCTCTCGATCTGATCGATGTCCAGATCTCCTCCCAGCTGATACCCATCCTTCCTGGTGCCAGTGGCTGCCCCTGCTGTCACGTCATCGCAGACCGCGGAGCTCAGCCAATCCAGCTCCTCGATGGAGGTGGCTGGATCCTCCTCCCCAGAGACACTAGTGATGACTCCGCCCTCTTTGGAGCTGGCGGTTGGATCGTCCAATCCCTGATTGCCTGCAGAGGCGAAGTCAGTCTCACATTGGTCAGTGGTCCTCTGAGGGGGCGGGCCCTGGGTTGATTGATAGCTGTTGTCCCCAGTGATCCCAGGGCAGCTGAGGCTTTGGAAATTCCGACGTTTCTGTGGATAAAAAAAACAACAAGTTTTTTGTTTAGTATATTTATTTTGTCTCAGAGGAAAAAGCAGAAACTAAAGCAAACAGGGACGGGGGTAGAGTGGGGAGAGGGCATACTGAACAGCCATACTCAGTCAGTTTGGTTTCCATGGAGATGGAATATTTGGCATCTTGGCATTTTCCTTGGTCTGCAGTCCAGCACATGATAAAAGTCCTCTCTCCCTCAGTCTCGTTCTCCCCCTCTGTCTCCTCCCTCTACGTCTCCCTCCCTCTCCCTCCCTCTACGTCTCCCTCCCTCCCTACGTCTCCCTCCCTCTACGTCTCCCTCCCTACGTCCCCCTCCCTACGTCCCCCTCCCCCTCCCTCCCTCCCCCCAGGCCACTCAGTAAATCCTCCCTACTCCTCCTACGCCTCAAAGTCATCCTACGTCTCCCTCCTAGTCTCCCTCCCTATCAATAGTCTTACTCTAAGTCCCTCCCTCTACATCACCTCCCCTAAACTCTCTCTCACTCCCTCCCATCCCTCCCCCTACTATCCCTACACTCTCCTCCCTCCCCATCCCTCCCTCCCTCTCCCTCCTTCCCCTCCGCTCCCTCCCCTCCCCCTCCCTCTCTCTCCATACGTCTCCCTCCCTCCCTCTCCCCCCTCTCTCCCTCCGTCTCCCTCCCTCCCTCCGTCTCCCTCCTACGTCTCCCTCCCTCTCTCTACCTCCCTCCGTCTCCCTCCCTCTCTACGTCTCCCCCCTCTCCCCCTCCCTACGTCTCCCTCCCTCTTCGACGTCCCCTACTCCATCTCCCTCCCTACGTCTCCCTCCCTCTCCCGCCCATCTAAACAGTATGTTTTCTAGAATAATGTTGATGGCTATTTTAGAACATGCTATTACAAAGTATGTGAAGTATGAAATGTTTTTTTAGTCATTCATTTACATCCAAATAGGGCCTCTTTGAGACGGCTCTTGACCCTAACTATAACTAGACCTGACTGCATTAAGCAGACAAAGCCGCAAAAACAGGTTACATCCTGAAACCTTTTCACTAAGCAACTACACATTTGTATCTATTAGGAGCACACCTCTCCATGTGTATACAGACCCTTATGTAGCCTCTCCATGTGTATACAGACCCTTATGTAGCCTCTCCATGTGTATACAGACCCTTATGTAGCCTCTCCATGTGTACACAGACCCTTATGTAGCCTCTCCATGTGTACACAGACCCTTATGTAGCCTCTCCATGTGTACACAGACCCTTATGTAGCCTCTCCATGTGTATACAGACCCTTATGTAGCCTCTCCATGTGTATACAGACCCTTATGTAGCCTCTCCATGTGTACACAGACCCTTATGTAGCCTCTCCATGTGTACACAGACCCTTATGTAGCCTCTCCATGTGTACACAGACCCTTATGTAGCCTCTCCATGTGTATACAGACCCTTATGTAGCCTCTCCATGTGTATACAGACCCTTATGTAGCCTCTCCATGTGTACACAGACCCTTATGTAGCCTCTCCATGTGTACACAGACCCTTATGTAGCCTCTCCATGTGTACACAGACCCTTATGTAGCCTCTCCATGTGTACACAGACCCTTATGTAGCCTCTCCATGTGTACACAGACCCTTATGTAGCCTCTCCATGTGTACACAGACCCTTATGTAGCCTCTCCATGTGTATACAGACCCTTATGTAGCCTCTCCATGTGTATACAGACCCTTATGTAGCCTCTCCATGTGTATACAGACCCTTATGTAGCCTCTCCATGTGTATACAGACCCTTATGTAGCCTCTCCATGTGTACACAGACCCTTATGTAGCCTCTCCATGTGTACACAGACCCTTATGTAGCCTCTCCATGTGTATACAGACCCTTATGTAGCCTCTCCATGTGTACACAGACCCTTATGTAGCCTCTCCATGTGTATACAGACCCTTATGTAGCCTCTCCATGTGTACACAGACCCTTATGTAGCCTCTCCATGTGTATACAGACCCTTATGTAGCCTCTCCATGTGTATACATACCCTTATGTAGCCTCTCCATGTGTATACAGACCCTTATGTAGCCTCTCCATGTGTATACAGACCCTTATGTAGCCTCTCCATGTGTACACAGACCCTTATGTAGCCTCTCCATGTGTACACAGACCCTTATGTAGCCTCTCCATGTGTACACAGACCCTTATGTAGCCTCTCCATGTGTACACAGACCCTTATGTAGCCTCTCCATGTGTATACAGACCCTTATGTAGCCTCTCCATGTGTATACAGACCCTTATGTAGCCTCTCCATGTGTATACAGACCCTTATGTAGCCTCTCCATGTGTACACAGACCCTTATGTAGCCTCTCCATGTGTACACATACCCTTATGTAGCCTCTCCATGTGTACACAGACCCTTATGTAGCCTCTCCATGTGTACACAGACCCTTATGTAGCCTCTCCATGTGTACACAGACCCTTATGTAGCCTCTCCATGTGTACACAGACCCTTATGTAGCCACCAAACCATTGAGAGAGTACAGCCGACAGAGTCATCTAGGATTTCTTAGTAACAGACTAATAGTAGCCGGCTGGGCTGATCCCGGAACTCCCAGAACATGTGATGTTGTCATGGTAACGACCGGCACGTTAACAGATACTTTTTGAAGCAAGCTGGGTGAACGGCTGTACTGATCGTTTACCTTTTAGGCATCATGCTACGGCCTGACCTTTTGACCCTCTGGCTGTAGAATGACAAAGGCTGTCCTGAATGTCTTGAAGTAGTAGTCCTATATAAGCCTGCTAATTGTCATGAATTACAACGACGTAAACCCACCCTATGAAACCAGCCTGCCCCATATACTAATTTCAGCAAATCAGATTGATGATTTTCCCTTTAACTAGTCTTCTAAATACTAGACTAGTAACCATTAACCGGGTTCCTAACTCCACCCCTTTGCCTTGTGGTCCTCTGTAGCTTAGTTGGTAGAGCATGGCTCTTGCAACACCAGGATAGTGGGTTCAATTCCCGGGTCCACTCGTATGTCGCTTTGGATGAATGTCTGCTAAATGGCAAATATTCTCACTATATTATTCCCCTACTAACCTGTGTCATCTTGGCAAGGTCCAGAGAAGGCCTCTGTCTGTGTGAGTCAGCTGGTCTCCTCCGCTTCACACTCATCTTCTTGTCGTTGAGGACGCAGGGCTGAGAGCGGCTCCGGGCCAGCCCACCCTTCCCAGCACGGCGCTCCATCTCTGGGGTGGAGTCTGGGGAGCTCAGGGGCGACGCCGGGCCTCCCTGGATCTCTGGGAGGCAGATCTGTCCGTGAGAGAGGTAGAGGAAGGGCCTGGGGGGCTCTGAGGACAGGGAGGAGTAGGAGGTGGGGGCCAGGCCGCTGAAGGAGGAAGGGCAGGGGAGGCATTTCTCCTGGGTGAAGCCAGGGAGATCCAGGGAGAGGGTGTTGGAGCGAGCTGGCAGGCTGAAGCTGGCGCTACGCTGCATGGCAGGGAACCCTAGCTGCTGAGAGCGTGTCCCTCCTGTTGCAACTCCTCTCTGGACACTTCCTCCACTGTGGCATCGCCTCTTCGCCACAGACGTCCACACCCGGGACCCCTGGGGCCTCCAGGCCGACCGACAGCCTCCCAGGTCCTCTGAGCAGGAGAGGGAGCGGCACTGGCGCTTGGAGGGTGGAGCGGCGGAGGGTGAGGAGGCTGACGCCTCACCCAGGCTCAGATCCTGTAGCAGGCTGGTGATGGTGCCTGGGGCGGGGATGGGGACCAGTCCGGTGGTGGTGATGCTGGTGGGACCCAGTGCTGCGTCTCTGCCCCCCCAGCGGACTGGGCACTGGTAGTAGTGGTGAGGTAGAACCTCAGAGGGCAGGACATCCCACAGGTTCTCCAGGCTGCTGGACTCCACCGAGGGTCTCTGGTGATGCAGGGCTCCACAGCCCCCCCGGGCCAGACCCATGCCCACGTCACGCCACCTGCTGCCGGTCTCTGAAACACAGTAATAAAGATGGAAATAGTCAGGGGAACATATAGCCTACAACACAACATGGAAATAGTCAGGGGAACATATAGCCTACAACACAACATGGAAATAGTCAGGGGAACATATAGCCTACAACACAACATGGAAATAGTCAGGGGAACATATAGCCTACAACACAACATGGAAATAGTCAGGGGAACATATAGCCTACAACACAACATGGAAATAGTCAGGGGAACATATAGCCTACAACACAACATGGAAATAGTCAGGGGAACATATAGCCTACAACACAACATGGAAATAGTCAGGGGGAAAGAAGGGGAACATACAGTGCATTCAGAAAGTATTCAGACTCCTTTATTTTTTCCACATTTTGTTACGTTACAACCTTATTCTAAAAAGGATTAAATAGTTTTTTCCCCCCTCATCAAGCTCATACAATAAATGACAATGAAAAAAATGAAATATTACATTTACATAAGTATTCAGACCCTTTACTCAGTACTTTGTTGAAGCACCTTTCGCAGCGATTACAGCCTTGAGTCTTCTTGGATATGACGCTACAAGCTTGGTACACCTGTATTTGGGGAGTTTCTCCCATTCTTCTCTGCAGATCCTCTCAAGCTCTGTCAGGTTGGATGGGGAGCATCGCTGCTCAGCTATTTTCAGGTCTCTCCAGAGATGTTTGATCGGGTTCAAGTCCGGGCTCTGGCTGGGCCACTCAAGGATATTTTAGAGACTTTTCCCGAAGCCACTCCTGCCTTGTCTTGGCTGTGTGCTTAGGGTCGTTGTCCTGTAGGAAGGTGAACCTTCGCCCCAGTTGGAGGTCCTGAGCGCTCTGGAGCAGGTTTTCATCAAGGATCTCTCTGTACTTTGCTCCGTTCATATTTCCCTCGATCCTGACTAGTCTTCCAGTCCCTGCCGCTGAAAAACATCCCCACAGCATGATGCTGCCACCCCCATGCTTCACCGTAGGGATGGTACCAGATTTCCTCCAGACATGACGCTTGGCATTCAGGCCAAAGAGTTCAATATTGGTTTCATCAGACCAGAGAATCTTGTTTCTCATGGTCTGAGAGTCCTTTAGGTGCCTTTTGGCAAACTCCAAGCAGGCTTCCGTCTGGCCACTCTACCATAAAGGCCTGATTGGTGGAGATGCAGCGATGGTTGTCCTTCTGGAAGGTTCTCCCATCTCCCCAGAGGAACTCTGTCAGAGTGACCATCGGGTTCTTGGTCACCTCCCTGACCAAGGCCCTTCTCCCCCAATTGCTCAGTTTGCCCGGGCGGCCAGCTATAGGAAGAGTCTTGGTGATTCCAGACTTCTTCCATTTATGAATGATGGAGGCCACTGTGTTCTTGGGGAACTTCAATGCTGCAGAAATGTTTTGGTACCCTTCTCCAGATCTGTGCCTCGACACAATCCTGTCTCTGAGCTCTACGGACAATTCCGTCGACCTCATGGCTTGGGTTTTGCTCTGACATGCACTGTCAATTGTGGGACCTTATATAGACAGATGTGTGCCTTTCCAAATCATGTCCAATCAATTGAATTTACCACAGGTGGACTCCAATCAAGTTGTAGAAACATCTCAAGGATGATCCAGCAGCGTTCGATTGAAGAGCATGCATTTAGTCTTACTAGTGTTTAAGAGCAGTTGGAGGCTACTGAAGGAGTGTTGTATGGCATTGAAGCTCGTTTGGAGGTTTGTTAACACAGTGTCCAATGAAGGGCTAGATGTATACAAAATGGTGTCTGCGTAGAGGTGGATCTGAGAGTCACCAGCAGCAAGAGCGACATCATTGATATACACGGAGAAAAGAGTCGGCCCAAGAATTGAACCCTGTGGCACCCCCATAGAGACTGCCATAGGTCCAGACAACAGGCCCTCCGATTTGACACATTGAACTCTATCTGAGAAGTAGTTGGTGAACCAGGCAAGGCAGTCATTTGAGAAACCAAGGCTATTTAGTCTGCCAATAAGAATGCAGTGGTTGACTGAGTCGAAAGCCTTGGCCAGGTCGATGAAGACGGCTGCACAGTACTGTCTTTTATCGATCGCGGTTATAATATCGTTTAGGACCTTGAGCGTGGCTGAAGTGCACCCATGACCAGCTAGGAAACCGGATTGCGTAGCGGAGAAGGTACGGTGGGATTCGAAATGGTCGGTGATCTGTTTGTTAACTTGGCTTTCAAATACTTTCGAAAGGCAGGGGGGGGATGGATATAGGTCTGTAACAGTTTGGATCTAGAGTGTCACCCCCTTTGAAGAGGGGGATGACCGCGGCAGCTTTCCAATCTCTGGGGATCTCAGACGTTACGAAAGAGAGGTTGAACAGACTAGTAATAGGGGTTGCGACAATTTCAGCGGCTAGTTTTAGAAAGAAAGGGTCCAGATTGTCTAGCCCAGCTGATTTATAGGGGTCCAGATTTTGCAGCTCTTTCAGAACATCAGCTGTCTGAATTTGTGTGAAGGAGAAGCGGGGGGGGGCATGGGCAAGTTGCAGCGGAGGGTGCAGAGTTGGTGGCCGGGGTAGCGGTAGCCAGGTGGAAAGCATGGCCAGCCGTAGCAAAATGCTTGTTGAAATTCTCCATTATTGTAGATTTATCAGTGGTGACAGTGTTTCCTAGCCTCATTGCAGTGGGCAGCTGGGAGGAAGTGCTCTTATTCTCCATGGACTTTACAGTGTCCCAAAACTTTTTGGAGTTAGTGCTACAGGATGCACATTTCTGTTTGAAAAAGTTAGCCTTTGCTTTCCTGACTGCTTGTGTATATTGGTTCCTAACTTCCCTGAAAAGTTGCATATCGCTGGGGCTATTTGATGCTAATGCAGTACGCCACAGGATGTTTTTGTGCTGGTCAAGGGCAGTCAAGTCTGAGGAGAACCAGGGGCTATATCTGTTCTTAGTTTTGTATTTTTTGAATGGGGCATGTTTATTTAAGATTGAGAGGAAATTACTTTTAAAGAACAACCAGGCATCCTCTACTGACAGAATGAGATCTATATCCATCCAGGATACCTGGGCCAGGTCAATTAGGAAGGCCTGCTCGCTAAAGTGTTTTAGGGAGCGTTTACTCCAACCCTGTTCCTGGAAAGCTACCATCCCGTAGGTTAACGCCAACCCTGTTCCTGGAAAGCTACCATCCCGTAGGTTAACACCAACCCTGTTCCTGGAAAGCTACCATCCCGTAGGTTAACGCCAACCCTGTTCCTGGAAAGCTACCATCCCGTAGGTTAACACCAACCCTGTTCCTGGAAAGCTACCATCCCGTAGGTTAACACCAACCCTGTTCCTGGAAAGCTACCATCCCGTAGGTTAACGCCAACCCTGTTCCTGGAAAGCTACCATCCCGTAGGTTAACGCCAACCCTGTTCCTGGAAAGCTACCATCCCGTAGGTTAACGCCAACCCTGTTCCTGGAAAGCTACCATCCCGTAGGTTAACGCCAACCCTGTTCCTGGAAAGCTACCATCCCGTAGGTTAACGCCAACCCTGTTCCTGGAAAGCTACCATCCCGTAGGTTAACACCAACCCTAATCTAGCACACCTGATTCTAATAATTCACTGGGTGATCAACTGAATCAGGTTTATATAAAAATATAACGAACAGCTGACTGGAGACGGGATGGCCGGCATTCGTACAGTTGAGTCCGTTTCTGCGGTAACATGGACAACTAGCAAACAAGCAGCAGCAGCACTCACAGAAATATAATGAATAGAACAGGCTAGGGAACATCTAACCCTGGTAATTTGACTGGTAAACTCAGGGGTACACTCGCAAGGGCTGCCTGGTATTGTGATGCAATCATTTCCATGGTAATGTAGAATATTAATTTCAGATGCTAACTGATGTGGCTCATGTAGAGGAATTGGATTTGTTGTGATGTCATGAGTTGAATCAACAAATGACTAGTGCTGTCACGATACCAGAATTTTGATACCGATACCAGATTTAGTATCACGATACTCGATTCCTAAACGATGCCACGGCAACAAAAAAAAGGCGTATTAGCCAGTCATAGAATGGCACTAGATCCAGACAGATAAACTCAGCTACTGCTCTGTTCAATCATTGGGCATCTTTTGAGTTCAATATCATTACATTTGAACCTGTATATAAATTGTTTAGAGATAGCCATGTATAGATTAATTAATCAATTACACAAATCATCCAATAACATTTGACTTAGTTTTTAACCGGATCTAACTACAAAACATAAATGGTAATAATTTATTTCAAAATGGTAAATCTATTGATAAACTGGTTAAATCAAGATGTAGCCTAGGTCTATTCCCAATACAGGTGAATGCATATTATTCAATAGGAGTGTGTACATGCATTGAGTTACTGCGCTTGTTTTTGCTGATTTCATGGGGGCAACGCATGAAAAACAATCCCTTCCATTTATACTGAACAAAAATATAAAATGTATCATGAGCTGGGAAAAATAAATCCCAGAAAAATGTTCCATACGCACAAAAAGCTTTTACATCCCTGTTAGTGAGCTTTTCTCCTTTGACAAGATAATCCATCCACCTGACAGGTGTGGCATATCAAGAAGCTGATTAAAACAGCATGATCATTACACAGGTGCACCTTGTGCTGGGGACAATAAAAGGCCACTAAAATGTGCACACATCACAATGCCACAGATGTTTTGAGGAAGTGTGCAATTGGCATGCTGACTGCAGGAATGTTCCCCAGAGCTGTTGCCAGATAATTTAAATGTTCATTTCTCCACCATAAGCCGCCTCCAACGTTGTTTAAAATAATTTGGCAGTACATCCAACCGGCCTCACGACCACAAGAACAGACAAAATGCATTCTGGGAACGTTCTTGCAACATCACCGAATGTTTAATAGAAATATTGTAAAATCAACAGCATGACTGGACAGTTTTTGTGTTGAGAACATTTGCCGCAACCTAACGAACGTTCTGCCAACTTTCACAGAACCCATTTTGGTTTGCTGGGAAAACATTACCGGTACATTGGCGTTAGTGTTATTACATTACCTGGAAACCAAATGAGAACTTTTGGGGAATGTTCTGTTGGGGGTTATTACAGAGGTTGTGCACAACATTTTTGTGCACGTTAGGAGAATATCCAAAGGATATTTCATTTAAAACATTTATTTTTAAAGTATTTTGTTATCAAAAACATTGTTTGAATGTTTATGGGATGTTGTCATCCTAATGTTAGATAAAAACTTAAATGGGAATCTTCGGTAATGTTCTGGGAATGTTCCCGGTTTGCTGGGTCATCTTATATCTAAGAACATTATTTCTATGAAGAAAATAAATACAAACTTTCTACTGTACACATTGACAAGAAATGACAGGTGGCACATTGCCATGGATCATCTCTTCTCTCATTTAAAAAAAAAGTTTATAGAAAGGAGAAAGCTTCAGGCATGTGGGCCTTGTGCCTACAGAAACATTCTCTCTTTCTCCCTCATCAGAGTGGAGTAGAGGCTTGGCTGGCTGGCTGGCTGGCTGGCAGGCAGGCAGCGAGCCGAAACAACAGAAATAGCAGCTCCTGGTTTGTTGGCACCGTCTTAAACTGGGGAGAACTACTGAGCTCTACTGCTCGCTCTTCAGCTCTAGGTAACTTCTGTGTCTGGGAGTCAGCCTCCCTCTGCATTGAAGAATGGTACCACTAGGAGTATGGTACCACTAGGAGTATGGTACCACTACAAGTATTGTAGTATAGCACCAATATTAGTTTGGTAATACCGAGTACGGTACCACTATGAGTATGGTAGTATGGTACCATTAGATAGTCATTTAGCAGACGCTCTTATCCAGAGCGACTTTACAGTTAGTGAGTGCATACATTTATTTATTTATTTATTTATTTTCCCCCCATACCACTGAGTATGGTACCACTATGAGTATGGTACAGGCTTATGTAAGACAGACCACAAGGACATTTCAACATGTAAACAACATTGGTGGACATCAGTGGAGGCTCCTCAGAGGAGGAAGGGAAGGACCATCCTCCTCAGTGAATTTCATAGAAATACAAAATGTATCCTTTTTAGATAAAACTCTACTAAACATAATCACGTCACCAAATAATTGATTAAAATACACCGTTTTGCAATGACGGTCTACAGTAGCCTCAACAGCACTCTGTAGGGTAGCTCCATGGTGTAGCCGGAGGACAGCTAGCTTCCGTCCTCCTCTGGGTACATTGACATCAATACAAAAACTTAAGAGGCTCATGGTTCTCAACCCCTTCCAGACTTACACAGTATTATGCCAACTTCCGGAGGACGTCCTCCAACCTATCAGAGCTCTTGCAGCATGAACTGACATGTTGTCCACTCAATCAAAGGATCAGAGAATTAATCTAGTACTGAAAGCATTAGCTACAGCTAGCTAGCACTGCGGTGCATAAAATGTGATGAGTAGTTTACTCAAAGAGAGAGAAAGACAATAGTTGAACAGTTTTGAACAAATTAATTTATTCCAAAATGAAGCAGAAGCAAGATAGTTTTTTTTCCACTTTCAGTTTCACTTACTTAGCTAGCAAATGCAGCTAGCTAGTTTAGCCTACTCAAACACCCTGCTCAAACAGAGGGATGCTATGTTAGCTAGCTGGCTATGACTATTCAACACAACACTGGAACTCTTCCAAGTCAAGGTAAGCTTTTGGTTTTACAAATGTATTGCCACCGGGGCCCGCTGGTGTAAGTTCTAAACTGCTTGCTGACTGTACACTGTACTGCATGATTGTAGCGGGTTTACTAACGCGTTAGTTCTAGTAGCTATTTTTGACTGATGTTAGCTAATATGGTGACAACGATGTAGGCTGTGTGTAGCGGTTATGATATGAAGGTTTGGCTTGGAAAGGTTTTTTCACCTGGTCACATACAGCTGATGTGTTGTGCATTGAAGTCCACAAACGAAGGGAAAAGGTGAGAGGAGGAGAGCGCACAGATGCAAGAAAGAATACAACGTGGCTGCTATGAAAGTGAACTGTGTTTATGCGTGATCAGGGGTGTGTTCATTCCGCCGATTCTGTTGAAAAACAAAAAAGCGAATGGAAAGAAACAGGGATAAACACGCCTGAATTTGTCCAATAGAAAACTCTCGTTTGCAGCGGTTGAACTAATGATTACACCCTAGATTACATTTACATTTAGCAGACGCTCTTTAGCAGACGCTCTTATCCAGAGCGACTTACAAATTGGCGCATTCAACTAGATGCAGGCCAGAGGGTGCAAGGCGGTACTGAATGCGTCACTGTCTGTCCATGTGTCACTGTCACCTCAAGATTCTCTCTCGACCTTTGTGCACCTACGTTGTAAACTTTCATTTATATAGACTAGGTTGTAGCAACCTCATGATGGGTACAGGGAACATTAGAGTATCATGAAGTAGCCTAAACCTATCCATGTTACATTGAACTGGGTGAATGGAATATGAATGACAGCCATCCAATATGCTGTAATAGAAATAAGGCCATGATCATGAAGAAAGAAAATGGTCCTCCCTCATCTTAAACGGCACTGACCGCCACTGGTATGGTACCACTATGAGTATGGTAGTATGGTACCACTATGAGTATGGTACCACTATGAGTATGGTAGTATGGTACCACTATGAGTATGGTACCACTATGAGTATGGTAGTATGGTACCACTATGAGTATGGTACCACTATGAGTATGGTAGTATGGTACCACTATGAGTATGGTACTATATGAGTATGGTAGTATGGTACCACTATGAGTATGGTACCACTATGAGTATGGTAGTATGGTACCACTATGAGTATGGTATCACTATGAGTATGGAACCACTATGAGTATGGTAGCACTATGAGTATGGTACCACTATGAGTATGGTACCACTATGAGTATGGTAGTATGGTACCACTATGAGTATGGTACCACTATGAGTATGGTAGTATGGTACCACTATGAGTATGGTAGTATGGTACCACTATGAGTATGGTACCACTATGAGTATGGTAGTATGGTACCACTATGAGTATGGTATCACTATGAGTATGGTACCACTATGAGTATGGTAGTATGGTACCACTATGAGTATGGTACCACTATGAGTATGGAACCACTATGAGTATGGTAGCACTATGAGTATGGTACCACTATGAGTATGGTACCACTATGAGTATGGTAGTATGGTACCACTATGAGTATGGTACCACTATGAGTATGGTAGTATGGTACCACTATGAGTATGGTAGTATGGTATCACTATGAGTATGGTACCACTATGAGTATGGTACCACTATGAGTATGGTACCACTATGAGTATGGTAGTATGGTATCACTATGAATATGGTAGTATGGTACCACTATGAGTATGGTAGTATGGTACCACTATGAGTATGGTATCACTATGAGTATGGTAGTATGGTACTACTATGAGTATGGTAGTATGGTACCACTATGAGTATGGTACCACTATGAGTATGGTAGTATGGTACCACTATGAGTATGGTACCACTGAGTATGGCACCACTATGAGTATGGTAGTATGGTACCACTATGAGTATGGTATCACTATGAGTATGGTACCACTATGAGTATGGTAGTATGGTACCACTATGAGTATGGTAGTATGGTACCACTATGAGTATGGTAGTATGGTACCACTATGAGTATGGTACCACTATGAGTATGGTAGTATGGTACCACTATGAGTATGGTATCACTATGAGTATGGTACCACTATGAGTATGGTACCACTATGAGTATGGTAGTATGGTACCACTATGAGTATGGTACCACTATGAGTATGGTAGTATGGTAACACTGAGTATGGTACCGCTATGAGTATGGTACCACTATGAGTATGGTACCACTATGAGTATGGTAGTATGGTATCACTATGAGTATGGTAGTATGGTACCACTATGAGTATGGTAGTATGGTACCACTATGAGTATGGTATCACTATGAGTATGGTAGTATGGTATCACTATGAGTATGGTACCACTATGAGTATGGTAGTATGGTATCACTATGAGTATGGTAGTATGGTACCACTATGAGTATGGTAGTATGGTACCACTATGAGTATGGTATCACTATGAGTATGGTAGTATGGTACTACTATGAGTATGGTAGTATGGTACCACTATGAGTATGGTACCACTATGAGTATGGTAGTATGGTACCACTATGAGTATGGTACCACTATGAGTATGGCACCACTATGAGTATGGTAGTATGGTACCACTATGAGTATGGTATCACTATGAGTATGGTACCACTATGAGTATGGTAGTATGGTACCACTATGAGTATGGTACCACTATGAGTATGGCACCACTATGAGTATGGTATCACTATGAGTATGGTATCACTATGAGTATGGTACCACTATGAGTATGGTAGTATGGTACCACTATGAGTATGGTACCACTATGAGTATGGTAGTATGGTACCACTATGAGTATGGTACCACTATGAGTATGGTAGTATGGTAACACTGAGTATGGTACCACTATGAGTATGGTAGTATGGTACCACTATGAGTATGGTACCACTATGAGTATGGTAGTATGGTACCACTATGAGTATGGTACCACTATGAGTATGGTACCACTATGAGTATGGTACCACTATGAGTATGGTACCACTATGAGTATGGTACCACTATGAGTATGGTAGTATGGTACCGCTGAGTATTGCAGTATTGTATGGTAACACTCCATTCTGCTGTTCTGTGGTAACTATGAGTATTGAGTCATCAGTCTGTCAACACAGCTGATGAGGGAACAGAAGAGCTCAATGTCTTACTAAGCCACAGCAATAATTCCAACTAAATCCATTATTAGGCTGAACTCAGAGCTGTTATTTGGCCTTGTGTCAATTTCCCATCAGAAACATCTCATTCTCATTAAGCCAGCCTTGTTATCAGTGTTGAATCAGTCAGTCAGGGCTGGTGTTGTTCAAACAGACACTGAGCCCAAGGCTGTTGTTGTCAAAGTCTATCTCCTAAATACGTAGGCCTAGTACCGGTCAGGTAGTTCAACACGCCTTCTCCATTGAACAACAGAAAGTGAAATTCCGGTAGTAGGCGAGGCTACCTCCCCGTTTCACTTCTTAAAACATGTTTTGGCCCTTCTGAACACCAGCCAGGCAGACTGGTTGTTCTTTACCAATACGGTTCTCCACTCCTAGAGCGCTAGTCATTAGGCCTAGTCCATGGGCCAGACTCCACTCCTAGAGCACTACAGTCATTAGGCCTAGTCCATGGGCCAGACTCCACTCCTAGAGCACTACAGTCATTAGGCCTAGTCCATGGGCCAGACTCCACTCCTAGAGCACTACAGCCATTAGGCCTAGTCCATGGGCCAGACTCCACTCCTAGAGCACTAGTCATTAGGCCTAGTCCATGGGCCAGACTCCACTCCTAGAGCACTACAGCCATTAGGCCTAGTCCATGGGCCAGACTCCACTCCTAGAGCGCTAGTCATTAGGCCTAGTCCATGGGCCAGACTCCACTCCTAGAGCACTACAGTCATTAGGCCTAGTCCATGGGCCAGACTCCACTCCTAGAGAGCTACAGTCATTAGGCCTAGTCCATGGGCCAGACTCCACTCCTAGAGCGCTAGTCATTAGGCCTAGTCCATGGGCCAGACTCCACTCCTAGAGCGCTAGTCATTAGGCCTAGTCCATGGGCCAGACTCCACTCCTAGAGCGCTACAGTCATTAGGCCTAGTCCATGGGCCAGACTCCACTCCTAGAGCACTACAGTCATTAGGCCTAGTCCATGGGCCAGACTCCACTCCTAGAGCGCTACAGTCATTAGGCCTAGTCCATGGGCCAGACTCCACTCCTAGAGCACTACAGTCATTAGGCCTAGTCCATGGGCCAGACTCCACTCCTAGAGCACTACAGTCATTAGGCCTAGTCCATGGGCCAGACTCCACTCCTAGAGCACTACAGTCATTAGGCCTAGTCCATGGGCCAGACTCCACTCCTAGAGCACTACAGTCATTAGGCCTAGTCCATGGGCCAGACTCCACTCCTAGAGCGCTAGTCATTAGGCCTAGTCCATGGGCCAGACTCCACTCCTAGAGAGCTACAGTCATTAGGCCTAGTCCATGGGAGGGGGTGGAATGGGGTGGGAGGGGGTGGAAGCCCGATGCGGAGGCAATTAGTCTTGCCTCAACTACTCAGAGGTAGTCGAAGCTGCCAGAGGATGCGAGTAGTCAAAGAAAGAGTCATGTTATCTAGGGGGATCCTGGTATATCCACACTCACCCATGACTCCGCAAGAGAAGAGAGCTGTCCCCTGGAGGCTCATGGTCTGTGCCTTGATCTGTGGAAACACAAGACATCACATCAGGAAACAACACTTCCCTTTGGGTTGGAAAACACCTCCACCAAGTCACCCTACCTCACCACTGGAGCTTAATGTTCTGTCACCAAGTCACCTCACCACTGGAGTTTAATGTTCTGTCACCAAGTCATCTCACCTCACCACTGGAGCTTAATGTTCTGTCACCAAGTCATCTCACCACTGGAGCTTAATGTTCTGTCACCAAGTCACCTCACCTCACCACTGGAGCTTAATGTTCTGTCACCAAGTCATCTCACCTCACCACTGGAGCTTAATGGTCTGTCACCAAGTCACCTCACCACTGGAGCTTAATGTTCTGTCACCAAGTCATCTCACCTCTCCACTGGAGCTTAATGGTCTGTCACCAAGTCACCTCACCACTGGAGCTTAATGTTCTGTCACCAAGTCACCTCACCACTGGAGCTTAATGTTCTGTCACCAAGTCATCTCACCACTGGAGCTTAATGTTCTGTCACCAAGTCATCTCACCTCACCACTGGCGCTTAATGTTCTGTCTGTACATACACAGAACTATGTGTATGTACAGGAAGTGTAAGCTAGCATCACCTACCCCCTAGATATGCAATGCAAATATGCAAACCACAAAAACAATAGTCTCTACCAGTGTGTGGTGTTTCAGTAGGTCTGTGTAACTGTGAAATGAAAGAGGACGTTAAAGAGGGTGACTGCAGCTGTGACTGTGTAATGGATTCCCCCCCCCCCCCCTATGAACATCTAAAACGGCACCCTATCCACTACATAGTGGCCTATAGCGCTCTGGTCCAAAGTAATGTGCACTATATAAGGAATAGGGTTCCCTTTGGGACACAGCCCTAAATCAGTCTCCACCTTAAACTAAGGACCAGCCCTGAGACTGAGTATGATGATGACGTTTCACATGGATAGAGGGCAAACTCACACTACACTACACTACACTACACTACACTACACTACAGGGGGAATTTTCACTCTGTGCTAGTGAGAGGAAACGCTGAACACTTCTCTGGTGAGAAACATGAGTCAGAGTCGCCCAGCCAAGCCTCCTTGTTGTTTCTAAGGTTGAGTCCCAAAACGGCACCCTTTTCCTTATATATATATAGTCCACTACTTTTGACCAGAACCCTATGGGCCCGGGCCCTGGTCAAAAGTAGTGCACTATATAGAGAGAATGGCCCTTTGTTTTTCAGAAGAGTCATGAATGGAAGGAACTAAAAGGATTCCAGAATGGAAGGAAACAAAAGGATTCCAGAATGGAAGGAAACTAAAAGGATTCCAGAATGGAAGGAAACTAAAAGGATTCCAGAATGGAAGGAAACTAAAAGGATTCCAGAATGGAAGGAAACTAAAAGGATTCCAGAATGGAAGGAAACTAAAAGGATTCCAGAATGGAAGGAAACTAAAAGGATTCCAGAATGGAAGGAAACTAAAAGGATTCCAGAATGGAAGGAAACTAAAAGGATTCCAGAATGGAAGGAAACTAAAAGGATTCCAGAATGGAAGGAAACAAAAGGATTCCAGAATGGAAGGAACTAAATGACACAGCCTCCCTTCAGTCCCTCGTGATAACAGGTTGAGCTTTTACAATCCAAATCATGATTCATTGTAATAAAACTACCCTTTTAAATCAAGCGAGTGATGTTCAAATTATGTAACAGCGTTTTACATCACTTCCTGAATAGGAAATTATTGTAGTAGAGAGCAACGCTTTGAGTTGGGAGTTTTCCAGTGAATTCAACCCAAGTTAGGCCCAAGTCCATTAGTAAAGGATTACAGCCGCTGTAATCACAGCACGCGTCCCAAACGGCACGCTGGCATATTCCCTTTATAGTGGAATAGGTTGACAGATTGCCCTATTCACTATAAAGGCTATCATTTGGTCCTCTGTAGCTCAATTGGTAGAGCATGGCGCTTGTAACGCCAGGGTAGTGGGTTCGATCCCCGGGACCACCCATATGTAAAAATGTATGCACACATGACTGTAAGTCGCTTTGGATAAAAGCGTCTGCTAAATGGCATATTATTATATATTATACTGGTAGTGTAAGGTCGTAAACTGTTCCATCTTTGGGATGATGAAGAATGTAGCCGTTAGATTAGACAGCATCAAGACGTTATTCTACACTGGGCTTGTGTTTCCTACTGACTGACAGTGTGGTTGACATCAGTGTACTGACAAAACACTGGTCTTGTTTCCTACTGACTGACAGCATGGTTGACATCAGTGAAACATCCAATCACATAGGATATATGCAAATAACAAAGCCATATACAGTGGGGAGAACAAGTATTTGATACACTGCCAATTTTGCAGGTTTTCCTACTTACAAAGCATGTAGAGGTCTGTAATTTTTATCATAGGTACACTTCAACTGTGAGAGACGGAATCTAAAACAAAAATCCAGAAAATCACATTGTATGATTTTTAAGTAATTAATTTGCATTTTATTGCATGACATAAGTATTTGATACATCAGGAAAGCAGAACTTACTATTTGGTACAGAAACCTTTGTTTGCAATTATAGAGATCATATGTTTCCTGTAGGTCTTGACCAGGTTTGCAAACACTGCAGCAGGGATTTTGGCCCACTCCTCCATACAGACCTTCTCCAGATCCTTCAGGTTTCGGGGCTGTCGCTGGGCAATACGGACTTTCAGCTCCCTCCAAAGATGTTCTATTGGGTTCAGGTCTGGAGACTGGCTAGGCCACTCCAGGACCTTGAGATGCTTCTTACGGAGCCACTCCTTAGTTGCCCTGGCTGTGTGTTTCAGGTCGTTGTCATGCTGGAAGACCCAGCCACGACCCATCTTCAATGTTCTTACTGAGGGAAGGAGGTTGTTGGCCAAGATCTTGCGATACATGGCCCCATCCATCCTCCCCTCAATACGGTGCAGTCGTCCTGTCCCCTTTGCAGAAAAGCATCCTCAAAGAATGATGTTTCCACCTCCATGCTTCATGGTTGGGATGGTGTTCTTGGGGTTGTACTCATCCTTCTTCTTCCTCCAAACACGGCGAGTGGAGTTTAGACCAAAAAGCTCTATTTTTGTCTCATCAGACCACATGACCTTCTCCCATTCCTCCTCTGGATCATCCAGATGGTCATTGGCAAACTTCAGACGGGCCTGGACATGCGCTGGCTTGAGCAGGGGGATATTGCATGCGCTGCAGGATTTTAATCCATGACGGCGTAGTGTGTTACTAATGGTTTTCTTTGAGACTGTGGTCCCAGCTCTCTTCAGGTCATTGACCAGGTCCTGCCGTGTAGTTCTGGGCTGATCCCTCACCTTCCTCATGATCATTGATGCCCCACGAGTTGAGATCTTGCATGGAGCTCCAGACCAAGGGTGATTAACCGTCATCTTGAACTTCTTCCATTTTCTAATAATTGCGCCAACAGTTGTTGCCTTCTCACCAAGCTGCTTGCCTATTGTCTTGTAGCCCATCCCAGCCTTGTGCAGGTCTACAATTTTATCCCTGATGTCCTTACACAGCTCTCTGGTCTTGGCCATTGTGGAGAGGTTGGAGTCTGTTTGATTGAGTGTGTGGACAGGTGTCTTTTATACAGGTAACGAGTTCAAATAGGTGCAGTTAATACAGGTAATGAGTGGAGAACAGGAGGGCTTCTTAAAGAAAAACTAACAGGTTTGTGAGAGCCGGAATTCTTACTGGTTGGTAGGTGATCAAATACTTATGTCATGCAATAAAATGCTAATTAATTACTTAAAAATCATACAATGTGATTTTCTGTATTTTTGTTTTAGATTCCGTCTCTC